TATTATCAGGCATAACTGTCATTGTCATTTGGATCCCAATCAATTACCAGAAGTCGCTTGGCGGTCTCATCGTCTTCGCCCTAGCTTACGGTTTTACTTCCGGTGCTTTCGTGTCTCTGCTGACGCCGGCTCTTATTGAAGTCGTCGGTGGTCCCACTAGTGACCTCGGTGCCAAAATTGGCACCCTTTTTGCAATAATCGCTATTGCTGGATTAACTGGGCTTCCGATACAAGGAGCGATAGAGGCCAGCTCGAAAGGGGGAAAGACGGAGAAGAATGTGATCGGACTAATCGTATTCTGTGGTATTGCAATGCTGGCCGGTGGCGTCTTGCTAGGGTTAGACTGGATCTTGATCGAGAAGCAGAAGAGGAAGTCTGAAGATGAGAGCTCGAATCACTAATATCAGGATACAGCCATTACCAATACAGCGCCGGACCGGGGGTGCAGACTTGGCCATACACAACTCAAAATTCAGCTTTATTATAAAGAATTTCTAGACTTTTGTTGAAGACAAGCCTTGTGAGACGAATAATCTGGCCGAGTTAATGCGAGCCATATCAATCGGTTCTAAACATTGTTCTTAAGCCCACATCGATATCTCGGAGCTGGCAAAGTAATTGTATGCGAACTACCTGGTGTACGAAGGCCGGCACATAGGCATAAAGCAACAAGTATGGTAAATTTAGGTAGAGGTTTGATATTTAGGAGATCTTTCTAATTATCATATGTAGAAGGTGGTCTAGCACCGTTGTAGGTTTACTTGACGTCGCTGAAAAAGAGGCGAGTATCCCTTCCAGCTCCGTAGGGCAATCGCGGCTAAAGACGCCGGCATCATGGGCCAAGATGCCTCAGCTGTAGTACCGTACTCCGTATCTAGGATGAGATCCACAGGTATTAACGTGCAGGTAGGCATGTACATCGTGTGTACATACATAGAGCTACTAGGGGTACTACGAAGTAGGTACCGTTAGTAGCTGGCCTTTGACAGGGATCCCTACATACAGGTACCCTACTGCACACGTGGTAGGTAGACTTGCTTAAGGACAGCAACGCATGGCTTACACTATCAACTCCAAACCAAACGGCATTGACTGCTGTGAATAAGGATACAACAACAACTTCACTGTTTCTTTCTATCACTCACTCGCCGTCTTTGGTGGGGCTCTGTGTTGAATCGATTTTCCATTCTTGTTTTTTCTTTTCTTTTCGTACATTGATCCGCTTGTGTTTAGGACCTCTACCTTCCGAGTTTGGCGTCTAGATTTCAGTCTGATGCGCCCTCCCTTCGTAATTGCAGCTCGAGTCATTTTGCCTACCATGCACACTTGCATTTCCATTTGCACCTGCACCTGTACCTGCACTTTCGGCTCGCTGTCAGTGTGGTGATAACTATCTCCTTGCCTGACTCTTATTCGAATTTGGCAAATCACATTTCTGGCCTCCGACCACTTCAGTAGACGAGACGAGACGATCCGATCCGATTCCATCTCTGCGCCGCCGTCACGGCGTGACTACATAACAATGTCTGATCCGGTTGCGTCCTCGGCTTCCTCGGCGACAGCCACGGAGCCCGAACAGATTACGTTGCAGATCCTATCGCCGTCTGTCAACGTGCCTCATCCTATTATTCTCACTGTCCCGGTCACGACAAATGTTCGACAGCTCAAAGAGAAGCTACGGCATAGTATTACCACAAATCCGCCAAATGATGCCCAGCGCCTGATTCATCGAGGACGTCTGCTAGCGCGCGACGATGAGACGATGCTGGAGTTGTTTGGTGGCAGCACGGTAAGCCAGATACCCCCTGTCTTTGTCTGTGTCTGTGTCTTGTAGTCGTCTTTCGCTGTTCTCGCCGGACTGATGTGCCCATGCCTTATTCAGCAGCCAGCCACGGACCGCCAAACTCTCCATCTCGTATTGCGCGATCTCTCCGAAGTGCAGACGCAGACGCAGACGCCGACACCACCGCCCGGATCCAGTCAACATCAACACCCCAGCTCCCGCTCTCATACGCCCGGCCACCAGTTCTCACAGCTCCCACAGCACCAACCACATCCTCACCACCCGCAAAACCCCCAGTTCCCCTTCCCCCTGCCCCAGTTCCCTCAGCCCAATCAATTCAATCAGGTTCAGCATCCTCAGCCCAACCAGCAGCTGTACGGTCAAGCCTTCGCCAGCCTCGGCCAATATCCCAATACCGCCTTTGGCATCCCCCAGGGCGCCGTAAATGGCACCCAACTCCCGCCCGGCTGGACGCAACAGGCTGTCTCACAGAACCAAGCTCAGGGCTTGGCCCGATTAGCGCTTGCCCAACAAAACCAGACCCAAAACCAAAACCAATACACAGGGACTTACTCGTTTGGCTACCCTGGCATGCAGAACCGGGGAGGCCCGGGTGCTAACACGCCAGGTAGAGCTGCTTCGCCGTATCAGCCGGACTCTACCCGTACTGTAATCCGTGAAGGCATAGGCCCGGATGGGCAGCGGTGGCGAGTTACCGTAAATGAATCGGTCACTTCTGTACCGCCGCGGCCGGGGAGGACCGGCTCTCCCCTTTCATCAGCGCAAGCTCAAACTTCGACCATCCCACAGCCACGATCGGTACCCAGCGCCGGATCGATGGGCGGCCATGACCTATCAAATATCTTCCGTCCGGCAGACTCTGGCACTGCGACCCGTGCTATAGCTGATGCTATGCGAAGGAATGCCAGCAGTTCTTCGCTTACAAATCTGGCGAGTTTCCAGGGCCAGCAGCCCATTCCGCCCGGAGTCACGACACCTTTGCTTTCGTCGCGTACCGGAAGCGGAGCCGGCACTCCCGATCCTTTACGAGCGAACGAACGTCCTACCAACCCAATTGGCGGAATTCATGGGGTTCATGGAATTCATGGAAATCCAGCACCCTCCGTACCCGAAGTATATATACTCACTTCCCAGGACGGCTCCCGCGCCGTTCTGCTCGACGGTAGTCCGGGGGCATTTTCGAACTTTCAATCACGTGGTTTCAATATCCCCCCGCCCCCGCCACCGCCATTTGTTGGCTTTGGATCAGCTTCGCATAGACCGTTTGCCAATATACCACAAATTATGCCACGGTCTTCTATAGCCACTGGGATCGCGCCAACTCCTCGTCTAAATAACGCACCCAATGGACCACCCCCTCAGCTGCAGCCGCAACACGAAATCCAAGTGCCAGGCCCGATACAAGCGCACATTGGTCATAGAATGGATAACCCCCAGATTCAAGCCATTGGAATCGCACAGATATGGCCACATATATGGATGATGATTCGTCTGGCGCTATTTATTTGGTGGTTTACATCGCCTACGTCTAGTTGGTCACGCTGGATTACAGTTGTTTCGATCGCTATCACCCTCTTCATTGTGAATACCGGCGCCTTGAATCCTATCGCCGACCAAATCTGGGTTCCTCTTCGTCGTCATTTGGAAAACCTAATTCCGCTTGCGGCAGACGCACCACGGCAACGCCCGGCTGCCGGAAACGCGCAAGGTGGAGATGGAGATGTGGCGAATCCCGCGAGGCCAAGAGATCCAGACCCGGCCAACGCGGCAGCCAGGTTGGTTCAGCAGCGCCGTCAAAACAATGCTAATTGGCTGTTGAATCAAGCGAGACGGCTAGAACGTGCAGGTATTCTCTTCATTGCTAGCCTCGCCCCTGGGTTGGCCGAGAGGCACATTGCTCAACTGGAGGCGGAAGCTCGAGCAGAAGCTCAAAGACAACAAGAAGCCGAGGCGGCCCAGGCAGCGCGAGAAACCGCAAGTGGCGACCCTACCGCTACCAGCCCGGACGCTCACGAAACCCCTACAAATGATGATGGTCCCGCCAATGAATCAGGCCCTTCCACTAGCGCCCCTAGACAGAACGCCGATACTGTAAATTGATGAAGGCACTGACGTCACGGGAACAGAACAAAGTGTAGGTTCGTAAGGAACCCGTGATCCCACAATATGGAGATAATGAGATATGCGAAGTTTATTTTTAGCGAAGCAGCAATGGCAGTAGCAGCAGCAGCTTGGTGGAGGGTGACGACGCGCTCCGCTACGAAGATCGCACGTACCAAGTGAAGTGTCCCGTCGGTAGAATCCAAGCCGACGAAAATATGGAAGAAGATGATTGTTTCTCCATGACCGTGAGCGAGAACGAGCAACTAGGTGAAATGCTCTATACACTCGTCCATGTCAGAGGATGTTGCACGCCGTTGCAACATCGTCTACGAATACGATTGGTATGGATGAGACGCAACAACAACACAAGATGAATTTCCGGGATCAGTACTCAGACTAGGAGAGCCTGGACGAATCGCAACAGCGGTGGGCTCGGAATGTAAAGTCGGTGACTCGGAAGCGGAAGATAAGCTCTCTGAGAAGATGGAAAGAGAAGCAAATCGCGGGGAATGCGACATGTACATTTCGGCGGTAGATTCAATGCGTCGTGGGAACTCGGATCATAGCCAACTCAACAAATGTACGAGAATAGGTCGCGGGATCATTGGGCAGTCTGCTATGTTTCCCTGATGTTGTGTGTATGAAGTACTAAATCATGGCGACACAATAAAAACCAATGAATTTTACAGAGGTCATTGTAGTATAAGTGATTTGTACATACCGCGACGAGACTTTAACTGGCCGTAATATGTGTCTACATACAAGGCTACTCAACTAGTATTGACTGTAGCTTGATGGAGAACCGGCGCTGCCGAGGAGAAAGGAAAATGAAAGTAGGAGATTCTCATTGGGGAAGCGGTTATGCGGGTCGAGATATAGAAATATCTTAGGGACGCATCGGCCCCCAGCTGCTAACTTTGACCTTCAGGTAGACCTTTCAACGTCGTACTACAGAGCTTCTTTCAATATTCATTTCTTGTGAATTTGATTGTACTGATCAAGCCAGTGGATCGGAGATAAAAAGGAAATATTTCTTACAAGAAGTGAACCCACGCATAAACAGATGGCACCCAACAAGCGGGAAACAAAAATATGACTGGACCAGGAATCGAACCTGGGTCTATTCGGTGCTCAATTTGCTGGCTAGTTTTCGCCGGCTCGGGACCACAACGAATTGTACTGACCACTATACTATCCAATCCTAGAGGTGAGATCCGGTGTGGAGATCGGTGCCGTTAGGGTAGATTCATATGTGGTGGATCGGATGCGCGGGTGGGAGAAGGGGAGAAAGATGAGCGCGGTGAGCTTCATATAGATAGTTATGTTGAGATTATGGGCATAAGAAGATAGAATGATTTTATGAAATATAAAAAAAAAAAAAGATTCGAGAACAGCACTCGAACACTTGGTGTCTGTTGCTACTTCGACTACTGCGGTGCAGAATCCGTCGCGCCTCAAGGGCCGCCTTGGACTTTCGTCTTTTCACTGTAGGCTGTACTCGAACGGAAAACCCAATTAGGAATTTGTCCTGGCGACTATTTTACCATTGCGCCACCGAGGTGGGCTGGGAACGTCTGTTGGAGGGGAGCAGCTTTTTCATCCCTATATGCTTGCCAATTAGGTCCACTGGCACCTGCAGTATTCGACAAACGTACACGCAAATCAATTCAAGGTCTACTGGTAGGGGCCTGGAGCAAATAAGCTAACCAGAAAATACTTCTAAAGATGTAAGGACTCAAATGTAACTCCTGATTAGTAGACTCTGGACATGGGCCACTGTTACTGGAGCATAGAGTGTTGGATACGAGAACTATTTATCTATTTAGGAAGGTATTCAACTTCATTGTTAGAAATGATTGCAGTGATGGCTTAAGATTCCCGTGTGATGTGGAAAGCATATTGAACCCGTATACCGGGTTGGGACAAATGTCATTCGCTTTATTCAAGTTGACAAAACTCAAATTTATCATCACTCTTTTTCGCGGATATTAGCCCAACAGGCCCAATAATTATGCAGGTTCGGCCATAAGGAAAACTACGGAATTACGGTCTGGACCCTCGTGAGATGGAAGCAAAGCCCAGTCGAAAGCTGACTGTACGTAGTCAGGTCGGAGTAGTAGAACGGAGTGATGCTGCGGTTGGTATTCATATGCTTACAGCCAAGGCTTTGACAGGTACAAGTGAAATTAGCTCTTACATTAACAAGCCAACGTCAACTGCTTGAAGTGACCACTCATGCACGTTATTCAGTTTCCTGCATGCGTAAGATGATTCGCGGCGCTCGACGGGTACGCAATCGTTGGACTACTTAAAATAGTCTTAAATAACCCAATCCGGATCCGATGTTGCTCTGCAGCTAACATACATATTTTGGATGTTAGAAAATGGTACGCCAGAGCCGCCAGCCCTGTGTGTACTTTCGAGCGACATGGCCAGAAGATATGGCCTAGTAGCAAGCCCTCTAATTATGGTCGGGACCAAAGTGGAACTCATGACGTTTCACTTATAATGACGCTATGCTCTCGGCTCTGCCTGCCGGGAACCGCCCTATTGCCAGTGCGCGTAGGTACAACTTCAGCCGTATTGCAGCCAGTAGATTCAGTTGTAACTCACTAGGTTAGGTCGCTGCCTAGAACGTCGGATGTGGGTTTACAAACACGCTAAGACTACGTACGTGAGTAAGTGTCCAGCCAGGTACTTAACGCGTCAGTTCAGTTATGGGGATGAGCAGCTCAGACATGGGGGCAATTGGGGGTCGTGGATCCGTTAGCGACACCGTTGTCCACTATGGCTTGTGGCTTTTGGTGCCTATTCTACCTACCTGCACCAGGTACCAGGTACTGTAGGTAGGGTGGTACGAAGTCCTTGTGTTGCCAAGAGAGACGCCGATCATTTGATTTGGAAACAGCCTCCTGCAAAGACAAGACGACTTCTAATCTCAACTTCTGCTCTGAGTCTGAACTTGAGTCATCTTCCGGTCTTAGTCCTGCCTACACCAATTCGACATCTGGTACTTATTCATCACGATAAGAAAGACGGGCAGCCCCGAGGTAGCTATCTTAGGGGAACTGAGGCCGCCCACGTTGAAGCTCTGCCAAGTCCTCCTACTGCAATTCGTACCTGGATTTGAGCCCCCAAGGAATACGAATGTGCCAGATCGTCTCGGTACTTTGAAGTGTGCCTCCCAGCCGGCACGTGGTTGGCGATGGTGCATGGGAGTGGGAAACGGCGTCACTGCGAACCACATAGACGGCGCATTCGCCGCAGCACTCTGCTACCGCACACAATACCACAAATGGTATCTGGATAGCTGAGTCTGACTGCCAAGACAAGACAAGACGAAAGCGGAGAGGAAGCGGAGCGCAAGAGAAGGAAGGGAGGCAGGCGAGAACCGAGAACCGAGAACCCGAGTGCCACGGTCTTGCGAATTACCCTGCCTCTCTGCATGAGCGGACATGAGTGATGACAACGGCAGGATCGCCGCCGACACGGTGGGATCGCTGCTGGCCACCGTCGCAAATTCCATCCAAGATGCGCTACGCCCGCTCATGTTCGCGGACAAGCGGCACTGGCAATCGCCCGAATTCGAGCAGCTGCGCCTCCTCGAAGAGACTCTCGACGAGGCGAAACGGGACTTTCAGGAGCTTCCTGCGCTTGTGAATGGGCGTTTCTACTACGAGAACGACCAACGGGGTATGTGTCTCATTGCGTCATTCATTTTGTGTTTCGTTGGAAGCTCGTGTTATCGGAGCTCACCCGGCGCATTTGCGCATTTCTTCTCACATGCAGCATATGGGGGAACGACACTAAGAAATGAGCAAGCTGTGAGCGCGCAATGGAGTGTCATCAGTCAAGTGATTGTGACGTTTATGCTACCTACACGCTAGTTGCGATATCCGCATCTTAATTTTCGCAACCGATGCTACATAGCTAGACAAGATGTACACAATTTAATATCCCCATACTGACCATATACAACAGCCGACAGTCTAGACGAACTGCGCGAGCTGTGTATCCGCTTCCAGCAACATGCACAGACTTTGAAGTATTGGGTGCGAGCGGGTGGGCCTATAGAAACGGAATGGGCGGCCGAGACAAGGTGGCTGAGACGGGAACTTCACCGCACACAATGCCGGGCGGTGCGGCGCATACACGACGACCTTGAGAGTTCTTCCTCCCGGCCACGGTGTCTCGGTGCCCTGATCGTGTGGCGGAGCCAGCGACGACAACAACATAATTCATCTCAACCACAATCTCACCCTCCCCAGTCACAACAACCGCCGGAGAGGGGGCATCCGGTAGCGACAACGACGAACCCGCCAAACTCAATACCAAGCAACGAAATTGCAGCCTGTAATTTAACGGGAACGTTTCAACGTCTAGGGCCTGATAACCGGGACATCGCCTTTGTGTGCGATTTTTGTGACGGATTCCTAGTATGGGAGAACCTCCGTTCAATGCCGAGCACGCGACGGGACCCATCGACGTCATCCGCGACCAGGCCCGAGAACTGGGCGGCAATAGGATTCTCACATCCTGACTCGGTTTCTCGCCCTAGTGAATACTCCCTTCACTCCGGGACAGACTCAACAGACTCGGCTATTGAGCTCGAAGATCGGAGCCATAGTAAACCTGGACCTCGGGTCGCGGTAAGGCCGCAAGCGTCAGGGAGGGCATCAGATACAGCGATAGAGACAGAGCTGAGGGGAGAAGAGAAGACAATCATCTTCCCGCCCGTCGCTATCACGAATCATCTCCCGCCCGAGCCAGGCGAGTGGCAGGCCTCGCTGCTCTGTCCGCTTTGCGACGAGTATTACTACGAGGAGCAGGGCGACGACGATATGGATCGTGTACGATATAACCAGGACGAGCGCGGGTTCGAGAGCATCGCTATGCTGCAGGAACACCTGGAATGGAGCCACGCCAGTCTACTGCCCAGTTTTGGGAGTCTCGCGCCCAAAACATCGAGCTGTGCGGTCATGTGAGCATATCTACTCACTTAAGTCATGACCTAACTCCTGAGAAAGGAGGGTTGGACAAATCGGACAGCATTTACGTTTACGTTGTGCAGCCAGCTGAGCTGTACGAAGGAGAATCGACGGGTACGAGCGGGTACTTCCTAGCCGCGCATACATACGATGTGATACGATTATTTACGATGTGGTTTAGCATCCATCGGCGAAGAAGCGGAATGGAAAAGGGAGAGAGACCCTGGAGTGGCCTTATGTATATTAAATACTATCTTGACGATGGGAGTAGCAAGGCGTTCTAGGCGGTCAGGGATGCTAAAAAGCCGCAAATACAATACTTTTCATTTGCGCTTCATATACGCATATCGTACACACGTATCGAGCAGTGGTCATAACAGCATCGCAGTCGTGATGGCGTCTATTCGTTCGAACTGGATCGTATCTCAAAGTCTATGTACACATGGGGCTAAGGCGCTTATACCAAAAGTGCCCAACCGCTAAATAACGGAGTGCTTTCGCTTGGTGTATACAGTGATATTAGTATGTCAGATATTTTCCGACCTGCTTCCCTTTTCTGGTTGAAGCAACAACCTGACCTAGTGGATTGTAGTATTATTGCCAGCCACTTTTCCACCTACCCAAGGTAATGAGCCGACAGACTTCTCAGAAGAACCGGAAGTAGATAAACAATATAACGATGAGCGCAAAGACGCCTATGGGGGCGTACTGCTTAATAAGCAGGTCCCAGTTGATCTTGACGGCGGCCTTGCGGTACTTCTTACTATCATCTCTCAGCCGCGAACTCATCTCGCCCATGCGCTCGAGGCTGTCGCCGCGGTAGAGCAGGTCCTCGATGTTGCGGGTCATGACCTTGGTGACGTCGCGCAGCTCGTCGTTGAGCTTGTCGAGGTTCTGCGCGGCGCGCGCGTCCGCGTACGTCGCCTTGGTGCGCCCGATGAACGTGTCGAACTCCATGAACGCGTACGGCCGCAGCCCGGGGCTGTGCAGCTGCGACGCCGAGTATGAATTGGAAAACTCGGCGGATAGGTCCGATAGGTATGTGAAGGCGAGCTTGCGCGGGTAGGACCGCTCGCAGATGCAGAGGAATACGATGTCGTTGGCGATTAGGTAGCTGTTGTAAGTGGAGGCGTGTTAATATTAGCTCCTGGGTTTACACAGCAACGAAAAGCCTGGATGGAAAGATTCATTGGAGGGGAAACGCACTGTAATG